AACCTCGAAGAAGTAGTGACGAGTGGTCGACTTGGCACTTACTAGGGTCGAAATAATATAATTAAGTGTGACGCTAAGCATGGATGTCATGAATAGATAACAATTAATAACAGAAAGTGACAGGTTCTTTGATAAATATAATATCAGTTTCCGTCATTTCAGTTAACAATTTATGTTTCAAGGCATTCAAAGCAGTTCAAATCACAAAAAGTACCAAGCAAATAACATGAGCAAATAATGTCGAGGTCGTACAGCCCGATCCAACATATTAATAAAGTGTGCACTGTCGGAGGGTCGAACGGCGCGAACCATAGATGCATCATTACCCCGCTAGTGAATCATACATGCGTCGCGGCCAAATACGAATAAACATACAAACAGTCAATCAAGAATTCATCAGGAAAGCAATTACCCAAAGATGCCGACTTCTCTTTAAAGGTCAAGAAAATGATGTTTAACTTTTTTTAAAAAAAATTCATTTGCCAAGTTCGATATGACTTAAGCAATTTAAATTGATAATAAAGTTACAAGTACAGCAAGTAAAGCATGCTTTTGGGTCCTAGACTACCCGGACTTAAGCATAATAGTAGTTACGCACGGACTCTCATCACCTCGTGCATACGTAGCCCCCATAATTATAGACACATATTCAATTATTTTGCTTATGGGGATAATTCCCTCTTACAAGGTTAGAAAGGAGACTTACCTTGCCCCAAAGCTTACTTCCAAATTCAAGAATGCGCTCCAAGCCTCAAATCAGAGCCGAACGATCCAAAACTATTCAAATGGGGTAAGAACTAGTCAATATATGCTCAAGAGTTCATATTCTAACTATTATTGTAATTTCCCAACTCTAGATTCAAGGTTCTTAAAACTCATCCCCGGGTCCACGTGCCCGGATCCCGGATCCCGGAAATTTTTGAAGAAAGTTGTTACCCATAACCTTAGGATCAAGAATATATGATATCTACTACATTCCATAAAAATTTCGTGGTTAAATCTCATTTTTATCAAAACCCTAGGTTTTAGTCTAAACCCATAATTTACACTAATTTACATGTTGTAATCTACCCATAAACTATGTATTAAACTCACATTAAGTAGAAATTACTTACCTCACAAAGCTAGGTTGAAATCTCCCTTTTAGAAGCTCCCAAATCGCCCAAGAATGGAGTGAAATGAGTAAAAAATGACAAACTCCCGTATTAAATGAAGGCCGCTCCCTCCAGCGATTTCCGCACCTGCGGTCTCGCTTCTGCGAAAATGGGCCGAGCCAGCTGGGGCCGCATCCTGATGACCACTCCTGCGGTACCGCTTCTGCGGGAGAGGAGCCGCATCTGCGGAACTTGGGCTCCCCTCCTTGGGTCGCATCTGCGATGCTTCCGTCGCACCTGCGGCTGGCCAACCGCAGGTGCGGTTATGACAGCAACTGAAGCTTCAGCTCCTTCTCAAATACTTAGTTCGAGCTAGGGGACCCTGGGGCCCCGCCCGAACATACCGACAAGTTTGAAATCATAAAACAGACTCGCTCGAACCCTCGGATTGCCCGAAACAACATTAAAACTAAGAATCACACTCAAAAACCAATTGAATCAAACTTATGAACTTCAAGTTCTTCAATCTACTTCCAATGTGCCGAAACATACTTATACTATTCGGAATAATACCAAATTTTGCGTTCAAGTCTTAAATGACATTATGGAATTATTCCCGGTTTGGGAATTCCATTCGGACCTCGATATCACAAAAACCCACTCCAAACCAAATTTAAAGAACTTTGAAATCCTTAAAGAATCAACTTTCACTATTAGGTGCCAAAACGCTCCCGGGTCATCCAAAACCCGATCCGGACATACGCCCAAGTCCGAAATTGTCATACGAAACTGTTGGAACCTTCAAATCCCGATTCCGAGGTCCTTTACTAAAAATATTAACCGAAGTCAAACTTGGTATTTTAAGCCAACCTTAAGGAACCAAGTGTTACGATTTCAACCCAAATTCTCCCGAATCCCGAACCAACCATCCCCGTAAGTCATAAATCAGTAAAAGCAAGTACGGGAAGTCTTATTTAGGAGAACGGGATTCTATAACGTAAAACGACCAGTCGGGTCATTACAAAATGTGCCTTCGTACTTGTAGGGACAAGCGAGAAAGCTGTCATCATGTGTTTCTAAATTGTTGCTTATGAAGTGTCATGTAATTTTGAGTGCTAAATATATGTTTTCATGAAAAAGTTTGTCTTTTGAAATTTCAACAAAGGAAGCACTTGTTGTATCTTTAGATCGATGTTAATTGATAAAGGCTTTAACATGAAAAAGGTTATTCATTTGATTTTGTTCAAATGGTTTGGATTGACTATGAAAATCATGATTTGAAAAAATAGATTCTTTGAGGCAATTATGCTATGAATCTATTTTTGATATTCAAATGTTCTGGAGTTACTATTGGAGACGACCGAGATTGGTTAGAATATGAGGTTCGTTACCATGAAACTACATGTGCCGGTGCAGGGACGCATTCCAAGGCTAAACCTAGATTTGTGGGATAAAGTCCCCATTGAGAGGGAAAATGATCATTATTTAAAGTAATGTGATTAAGTCAACTCATACGGCACTACGTGAAGCCGCTCAGACAAGTAGGATGAAATACTTGTTGTTAGGATGATCACCTACTGGTTATTTATTATATCGGTATCGGTATAGTACTCCCGGTGAAAGAGAAAGAGAACTTTCTTATGTTTAGGCCTAAGGAGCCGAAAGTGATTTCAATGACTTAATGAAATTGGAATGGTTTTGTATGATTTTTATTCAAAATCTTGGATTGATATAAATGTTCTAAGAATTTACATCATAGTTTATACTTCACTTGTCTTTTCATTTGAAATGATAAGGAGCATTATTTATCACTTTATATCAAATATTGGTTGCATAGTTTTTGTAAAATCTTATCCAAGGAATTTGAGTTAGAGAGAGTCTATGACACTTATTGAGTAATGTGGTGGTGTACTCAGCCCTCAGGGGCCCCTCTTCAGGGCTCCTCTTACTTTACATGTTTCAGGATGAGAGGTATGATACGTGGCATGTAGACATGGCTAGGATGACTCTTTTCCCAAAGTATATAGTGAGGCATTACTCCTATTTCGTGGTAGCTATCATGTTGTCTTTTTATTTTTTTATTTTTTTTTGATTTTATATTAGTCGGGCATTGACCCAAACGTTGAGTTCTATTCTTGGTATAGAGGCTCCACAGATAGTTATGATGAGTTATAATAACGGGATGGTGCAAGACATATGTAAAAAGATATTTGTCGCAATTGATGTCATTATTATCATGAAACACATCATGTGTGATTTTGAATTGGAAAAAAATATTTTATTATTTAACTTGAAAATGTATATGATTTGCAAATAGCTTCTGCAGTTAAATTAGTTTCATACATATGATTTGGGTGCATCATATGGTTTAGTTCGTTCGAGTCGGGTAGCGTGCAGGGTACCGGTCACGTGGTTTTGGGTCGTGGCATGTAGCCCCTGTAGTATTTGACAATATGATTTGTACATAGGTTAACATCTTCTTCGAATGCACTAATGCTAAGACATTTTGGAACTCTCTAACTATGAAATGTACCAATGAATCGTCCCAAACACACCTTAATTTCTCAATGACACAATGGGAAGACACTTGGCACAGAATCAAGAACATGCATTTCAACAGTGCTATCACCTGGAAATCACTACTATCATTCTGCTTTTGGGGCTATGGATAACTAGGAACAACAACCCTTTTGAAAACAAAAAGAATAATGTCCCAGTCAAACAGACCATTGCTAGAGCCACAGAATACTCTTATGTCGCGGTGAATCATAAGGTTAAGACTGATACTCATAAGATCCATATCAAATGGACGCCACCCCTTAATAGCATATACAAACTCAACATTGATGGGGCAGCATGCCCAATATCACGAGTAGGGAGAATTGGGGGGGGGGGAGGGGGGTTGTAAGGAATAGCAGGGGCGACTGGGTTATGGACTACATGAGAGGCCTACCCCATACCACAGCCCTTGAGGCTGAAATCCAGGCCCTTTAGCAAGGGCTAACGCTAGCACTCCAGCACAAGCTAACACCACTTATAATCTCCACTGACTCTGAATAGGTTATCAGATTGATAAAGGAAGGTAATTTGCATTTTAACTCTATTATTCATGAGTGCAGGTCCTTGATGGAGCAGCTGGGGAATCCAGCACTGGAGCATGAATTCAGGGAACAAAATCAGGTGGCGGACCTCCTCGCAAAGGAAGGAGAAGAGAAAAAGGCTTTTGATATGATAGAAGTTTTGACAGTTCCTCCAGTGTTTGCAAACAAAGCACTGTGGGCAGACATCGTAGGAACTGTATTTGTCCCTAATGCAAGGGTAAACAATTGTGTAGGTCAAGGCATTGGTAACTATACATTAGGGAGCACTAGCTCTCAAACAATGTTGTAACTATTTGTGGCTTTTATATATATAATTGTCCAGTTCACCAAAAAAAAATTCAATTTTAAGAATATTGCCTTTTCCCCTTTTTATATACTAAGTTAACCTAGTATATTAGTGGTCTATGTCATGACTCGAATTACTTGGGTCAAATATCATGGAGTTAGGCAATCACTTTCTTATAAACACCAAAGGATCTTTTGTGAGGGGCATAAAATTTTAGCTAAACACCATGATATATTTCCTTTCTCTTATGCATATTTGGCTAAAATTCAACACTTCTCACAAGGTCCTTTTATGTTTTTAAGAAATTGATTGGCCTAACTCTACGCACGTGCCTCTCAGGTGACCCGACTAATCTGGATTATGCTAGTCTATTTTAAGAATAGGTTAGGTGTTTATGTGTGTACAGAGTTATATGTCATTAGAAAAAAAAGAGTAACTTACAAACTGCTTAAATGAAATTCTGGAACTTTATGCAACAATTTGGAAGAGGAAAGAGGAAAAACAAGAATGGAAAGAAGAACAAGAAGAAAGGATAGAATTTATTCGAAGTTCACAACATGAATCATAATTCATTTTTGTTGGACATGCTTCATGATGTTTTTCAATGAAATATAAGTTCCAGATATGGCAACACAAGTACCCAAAATTAAAATCACTCCAATAAATATAACTTCTATTCCAAAATTCCTTGGGTAATTCTTCTTGATCTTGAGATAGCAGAGGCATGGGAACAATATAGACACACTAACGCCCAAAAATGCGCCTATAAACGTCATGACATATCCGAAAAATGGAACTGCTAATGCGACAATAACTGTGCTGATGACCAAAACAGTTCTGATGAAGTAGCTCATAGGTTTACTTTTGCGGAAAGGAAATGTATCTTCAATGGCTGTTGCAATTGGTGAGACAACAAGAGCGTACTTAGTTATTGGATTGATTAATGTTGTGTATATTGCGATTTTCGAACTAATTTTTCTAGTTGGGAGATTTAAGGTCACTTGTGACATCAAATTTTCTCCATACATTAAGTAACCCATAGTTGCCATTGATCCATAAGTGATAGTGCTTAGTATAAAGCACAAGAGTAGAACCTGTTGACAACAAAAAGAAAGGGGAATGAGGCAAATTGTTTTTGAAGTTGGATTAAACAAATCTCTATGCTCTAGTAAAAGGACCTTATTATATATCGTAGTGGCGGATCCAAGATTTTTAAGTCATGAGTGCTTAACTATTTTTCATCTTAAAATTGCTACTAAGACTAGGTGATCAGTTAATATATTTGTATACCCTTAAGTCATGGTGTACCCTTATAGTCGTTGAAATTATTTAAGATCACAAGCTTTAGAAGTACTTTTGGTACATGTCAAAAGTTTTTCTTTCTTACAAGTATAAATACAAATGTATAATACAATCAAACCTCTCTATAACAGTCTCGTTTGTTCCGAATATTTTTGACTGTTATAGCGATGTGTTGTTATAGAGAACATGTAGTATAACATAACATGAAAATTGGTTCCGAAAAAGCATGACTTTTATAGTGAAGTGTTGTTATATAGTGATGATGTTATAGAGAGGTCTGACTGTATATGAAGCAGATGGAGTATAGATATTATCAAAAATTACCTTAGGAAATTGGCTCCTATCCTTCATGGAATTGCATAATGTTGGAAAAACCGCATGACCACAATAACAAAACGTGAACATACTTACTGCAGTTGTCAATCCGCTCCATCTCCAAAGTGTTCCTTTCTGTTGAAAACCGACACCATCAACTTCACCAACCCAAAATACTGCGCCAACTAAAATAATAGACGCCAAAACTCCTCCAGCAGAAACATAAGCCAATAAACCTAAGCTTCTTAACCATGTTGTTGGCAATATTATTAGGGCAACAAGAAAGACAAAGACTTCTCTTCCCACAATTTTCAGACCACCAACATGAAAATTTGCATTTGGGAATAGTTTTTGCAAATTGTCACCTTCTAATATGAGGAACTCAACTGCAACTAAGTATAGCTCAAGATACATGAAAATTGAGATTACGACTCTCCCTTTATTTCCAAAAGCAAATTCACCAATATCAGGATATGTCTTAATTGTTGGTGAGACACTCATACATCTTTGTAGAAGGAACCCTGTGTAGCAACATACAATTGCTACCAAAAATAATATCATCAAACATAACCATCCTCCTTCTGAAAGTGCATAGGGTGCTGATAGTATTCCAACACCTATATGAAAGAAGGAAAGGGGGAAAAAAGAGTTAGGGCTCGTTTGACCATAAAAAAAATTCAGTTTTTCAATTTTTTTTTTTTTACTTTTTTTCGAAATTAGTGTTTGGCCATGAAAAATTTTTAAATTTTGATTTTTTTTTTTTTTGGAATTTGAAATACTCTAAAAAGCTATTTTTCAAAATTTCACTGCAAAGCACTCACAAAATTCAAAAACAGCTCCAAATTATATTCATGTCTAACAACAACTCTAATTTTAAAATACTACTTTTAAGTTGAATTTTTTTTTTTAAAATCTTTTTTACGGTATTTCACAATTCTTATGTCCAAACGCCCGCTTAGAAGTTTCATGCGCCGACTTTGAAAATATTTATACAATTATGTCACTTCTATAATATATAAGTATTAATCGATACCTAGCTAATAAAAATAGTATCCACTCTGGTATAATAGGTTGAACTCACTAATTATAAAAATATATATTTAACTATAGTGTGTAATTTAATTCAATAATAAATCCAAAAGAGAGAGACACAGAAGACAACACATATTATTGCCTTGTGTTTTAACCAAATTTTAAGCAAAAAGCAAAAATTGGTAGTAAAGAAAATTCCAAATATTCATAACAAAAAATATATTTTAAGTGATTATAACTTTTTCTTTTCTAGGTATATCTGAAAAGTAATGAGATATTAATTAACCTGATAATGCATTAACACCATTGAAGCATGTTCTAAAGAAAGAGGTTCCTTTGCTAGGCTCCACAGGTTGTGGGATCTGATTTTGACTCTCAATTCTCTCCACAATATGGGACTCCATGTTTTATGAGTACTACACAAAACATCCAAATGCTAGTCTATATATACTTGAGATTTTGGCAAAATATATTGAAAAGAAAAATATCAATGTTAAAAAGCTAGTCATTTTCGTGGGCTAATCTCAGCCTCACCTTTTACTGTAACATAATCTATTCCCTCCATTTTTATTTTATATGACGATGTTTAATTGGCTAGCTTGGTTTGTAATTTAATAATGAAGAAAAAAATAATTTTGGTACATATAAAAAGTTCTCTCTCCATCCGCCAATTATTTTAAGAAAGACTTTTGAAACATATCAAGTATGCTAAAAATTACTGGCCGATGGAGAATACAATTTAATTCAACTGAATTCACCATTTCATTACGTCATGAATATATATGTAAAAAATAATAGTAGTAATTTCTATAAATATTAAATTTTAAACTCATACTTTGTGTAATAGATTTAGTGGTAAGACCCACAAGGTCCGAATAGACAAATATTATAAATCTTGCAGGATCTGCCTGCCTCTCCTTAAAAATTTGTGGTTTAAAAGATAACATGGCATTTTTATGATTATAACATGTGATAAAATCGAAAATTTGCAGTTAAATAGCTTTCAACTATAAATAGAAGGCGTTTTCTATAATCTAATAAAAAAATAGTGTCACATAAAATGAAATAAACTAAAAATTGAATATTCTATTTGATGCTTGAGCCCTAAAGGGAGGTAGTGAGGATGAGTAGATCACCATTTAAAAGACACACGCAAAATATCATGCAAATTAGGTGCTTTTGACAGCTAGAACACCTGAATCCCAATAGTAAATTAAATAACTAATATACTATTTTCTCGTTTTTCCTTTCCACTATAAAGCGATATATTCTCTTGAGCATCAACATCACTTTTTCTATTATCAAAGCTTGTAATTCTATTAAGCTTATGAGTTACTAAAACGATCTCAAATTAATATACATGATAACTGATCAAAGAATTGGATTTCAAACTAAATATTCTTATATTTTTAATTAATTTTTAGTACAAATATAAAATTTACACAAAAATTATTGAATTCACGTGAATCCGTATTTGCACTAGATCTGCCCTGCCTAAAGTCATCCTATTGGCATCAAGGGATGGCCTCCCAAACCTTTTTTTTTTTTTTGGGTGGGGATAGTGCATCCATTTGGGCCTACAAGATGGCATAGGCTGAATAAAGTGTTTTTTCTTTTTTTTTAAATTGTTTTTTTTTTTTTCTAAAAGTTCCGAAAGAAATTCACATTTTTGGAGAATTCAAAGAAATTGGAAAATAATTTCAAAGTTTTGATATATACTTTTTTTAAAATGGGAAAACACTATCAAATAAACACAATTCCAAAATTGGAAGAATATTTTAGCCATAACTTTTTTCACCTCATTTTCCTTCCAAAGGAGATTAATTAAGTCTAACTAATTGTCATGTTCTCTGTGGAGATCACATGCAGCAAGATCAAATAAATGGTTTGATCAATATTTCCAGCAAAACATGAGACACACATTAAATCACCACCAATTATTTGAAAATTTTGAAGACCTAATATTAGTGTAAATTATAGGTATTAGAGATTTTCAACCACAGGGGTACGGATATGATCCATTTATCTTTAACCAGATATCTCAGATTCGAGCACTAAAAATTAAAAAGACAATCTTGGTACGGAGCGCTACAAGACAGGGTGAGGGAAAAAAGGAATAACAAAACAACTAGCTTACGTGTTTGTATTTCTGATTTTCGTTAATAAGTAAAATATTAGTCACGAGCAAATGATAAAATTAGATTTGGAGAACAAATATCAAAGCCTGAATAAAAAGAAATAAGTTGCATTACTAATAAAAAGATCATACGTCTGATACAATAGCAGCTTTGGACGATAAAGTAATCAAAGTATTTTACTATCTGTATATGTCATAACTTTTTATCCAAAAATAAAGCTAACATTTTTTTCTTCTTTTTATCTCACTCTGCACTGCAATGAAACTGTAACATCAATTTTTATATTTTACATATGCTCCATAAGCTTCATTTTCGAATAATGAGCCTAACCACTTTAGTGTGTTTCTTTTTGAATATTCTAGTAGCTATTGAGAAATTTTACTGGATAGTTGTTGTAGTAGCTATTGTTAACAGTTTGTAAGTTGAAACATTCAATAATGACACAAATGACAGCGGGTGCACTTTTGAATTCAACAAAAATTTACTTTGTATATAAGGTGTTCACTATTAATATACAACTATTTTCTAAAGAGAGATATATACATGTATAAATGGAACATTTACCAAACTTTACTGTGATGACCCAAAATGTCATCTTTAATTTTAAATATTCATTTCTGTGTTTTGTGACCTTGTATAGCACTATTCATTACTCCTCGACTTGCGTGCGCAGTCCGTATAATTTTTCGGAAAGTTTTTATGTGAAAAATTGATTAAAATGTGAAATAGAGCTTTAAAACTCATCTGAGTTGACTTCGGTAAATGTTTTGATCAAACAGACCAGGATCGGTATTTTGACAGTTCTGGTAGGTCCGTATAGTGATTTGGGACATGGGCGTATCCCGAAAGCGAATTCGGACGTCCCTAACTCAAATTATCGCCATTTAACGGAAACTAGAAATCTAACGGCTAAAGGTTTCCAAAGTTTGACCGGGAATTTGACTTTATTGATATCGGGGTCGGAACCCGATTCTAAAAATTGGAATAGCTCTATTATATCATTATGACTTGTGTGCCAAATTTGAGGTCAATTGGAATTGATTTGATAGGTTTCGGCATCGAATGTAGAAGTTGAAATTTCTTAGTTTCAGTAGGCTTGAATTGGGTGTGATTCGTGTTTTTAGTATTGTTTGATGTGATTTGAGGCCTCGACTAAGTCCGTGTTATGTTTTGAGACTTGTTGGTAAGTTCGAACGAGGTACCGAGGGGCTCGGGTGAGTTTCGGGGTGGTTTCGGATAATTTCTAGGCCATTTTTAGCTGCTGGCTTTTGGCTACAGCAGTGTGCTATGCGATCACGGGTTATTGGCAGCGATCGCGATTAGTAAAATGGGAGAAATTGGCCAGTGATTCGCGATCGCGGAAGACCTTTCGCGACCACGTAGAGGAAACTTTCTCCTGCAGTAACCCGACTTTGAAAGCTTATATCTCGCAATCTATAAGGAATTTGGAGATGATCCAAAAAATAAAGTTGTAGCTCTTTGTATCTAGTTTTCATAAAATTAAACTATTTGGCATTTGGGGCTATTTAAAAAAAGTTATGCTTGGTACACTACAGGCTGTCCGAAAAGATGTTTGAAAATCGCGAAGAAGAAATTTGTGTTGCACAGGGCTGACTTTGACAACTTATATCTCGAAATCTATAAGAAATTGGGAGATGACCAAAAAATGAAAATCATAGATCTTGGTAGTTCTCAGAAAGTTAAATCATTTGTTATTCGGAGTTTTGTACAAAAAGTTATGACCATTATATTAGAGATCTGTCCGGAAGAGTTTGAGAAGGCTGTTGAAAAAATTTGTTCTTCGCGACCGCAGAAGAATGGCCCCGATCTCATTGAGTTAAAAAATGCTGGTAAAATTCTGTGCTTCGCGATCGCGGGAATTTGTCCGCGATCGCATAGGGTAAATGACGGGGCAGCAGATTTAAATTCTGAAACGATTTGGAGCTCGGGAAAGAGCGATTTTTGAGAGATTTTCAAAGGAAAACATTGGGGATAAGTGTTCTTTATCCTATATTAATTATATTGCATCATTCCATACTTAATTACATCATGAATCTGTGAATTACAAAATCTTACAAAAATGTAAAATGAATATTTGAAAGGCAATCCGATGTTGGAATTTGATAATTTTTGTATGGTTGGACTCGCCTGGGAATGGGTATTCGAATTTTGTGAGTTTTTACGAGATTCAAGACGTGGGTACCACTGTTAAATTTTGAGATGAATTTCGGTTATTTGTTCGGAAGATTAGTAATTTCATATGGAATTAATTCCTACGATTCGTGTTGAGTATGTTGAATTATTTGTGATTAGATTTGAAGCTTTCGGACACGAATTCGCGAGGCAAAGGTTTATTGGAATCTTGAATTTGGTTGCGAAGCAAGGTAAGTGTCGTGGTTAACCTTGACTTGAGCGAATAGAAACCCTTGAATTATTTGTTACATGAATTTCATGTGTAACGGCGTATAAGTGAAGTGACGAGTGCCTATACGTCGTCAAATTGATTGTTTGCATATTTATCTAAAAATCATAAATTATTTAAAATCATGAATTAATTATTATAATAATTATTTCTCTCATATTCCTTGCCTGATATTATGTCTTGAATTCATGCTATGATTGCTACATGCTTATTTGACTTATGTGTCTTACTACTTGACATTTAGCATATTATATATATATATATATATATATATATATATATATATATATATATATATTAATTGTTGAATTTATTGAAGTGGATTAAATTATAAGAATTGATAATTGATATTGTTGGATCGGGTTGCACGCCGCAACGAAATTAAATGAAAGTTTATATTGTGGGATCGGATTGCACGCCGCAACGTGAAAGCTTATATTGCAGGATCGGGTTGCACGTCGCAACGGAATTTATTGAAGTAATAATTAGTTTGGACTGCTAGTTGGATTCGATTGTTGAGATGAGTTACCTATTTTTTTTCTATTCCTGTCTTCCTATTATTGTCATTATTATTATTGCGTACAGGTTAATGTAAGTGACCTGGCTTAGCGTCGTCACTAATTTATCGAGGTTAGGCTCGACACTTATTGAGTACATGGGTTGGTTGTACTCATACTACACTCTGCACTTCTTGTGCAAATACCAGAATTGGTCCTAGTGGCGCACAGTAGAGTTGCTCGGATTCAGCTATTCAGAGGAGACTTGAGGTATAGTTGCATGGCATTCGGAGTTCTGAAAGTCCCCTTCTACATTATCTTAGTTGTGTATTTTCTTTCAGACAACT